AACAACAATGTTGATCATCAACTATCACAGTGGATGAATAATTCATCAATGATGGGATTTGTGATGAATTTACACGAATATCTCCACTTTCTCCAAATATTGAAAGCTCAGCTCACCTCCATGAGCGAGGCAGCAGTTTGGTGTGAGGCTGCTTCTGTCACTGTGTGGAAATTAAACAGTAATTATAATGTACGTTCAGTCAGTGTGGTGAGACTGCTGCCATCCACATCTCTCGATTCGTTCCATTTCAGTCCAAACTACGACCACAGCACAACTGCAGGAGAACAAATCAGCAGCTGAAGGGAAAGACAAATAGCTCTGTTGCAGTGCTCGCTTTTGATTACCTGTGTGTGTGTGTGTGTGTGTGAGAGATGGAGAAAAGAGTAGTAATTGAAGCCGGAGACAGAGAGCAAAAGGGATTTCACAGGTTTTGTGTTGATTTGGTTTGGATATCATTCACTGCATTTGTACTGTTTTTCCATCAGCACCAGGAAATTAGAAAGAGAAAGAAGAGGAAAGACGTGTTCATGTTTAATCTCTAGATTTAATGTGTCCATTTTTCCGTTTTTTTGGAACAGAACTCTGTGGCAGTGTTCAGGGAGCTGTGCGGAGTGTCCGCTGTGGCAAACCTCATGCAGTGTGTCCTGGCTCTGAGCTCCAGAGTGTCCGGACCAGACGGGATGCCTCTGCTGCTGTTTGACCTCCGGGACCAGTACCCCACCCTGGAGGCCCAGGGGCCTCTGCCTGAGGTCCTCCGCCGGGTCGTTTCCACCTATGAAATGGTGAGGATGGAAGAGACTGAACACAGGTCGCGTGTAAAAAGGAGCATGGTGCCTAACTCAATTCATCAAAAGGAAGGAAAGCCCAAACAAAAGCAAACTAGATCAGAAATAAGTCAGCCACCTCCCATCCCATGTGTACTTGACCCAACAATGAAAACCGCCCCTTCCCCGACAAAAGCTTCCTTTTTCAGCCGATACGTTCTCAAACACGAAGCAAGCTCTCATTGTTATGTAACAGACGACATCCCTGTTTGTCCCGGCTGCAACGAAGCTCGTAAACACATCAGCGACATCCTCACCTTGGCCTGAATCCACAGTTTGTTTCCCCCCCGAGGAGCCCGACCGAGGAGACAGTTTATGTAAAAGATTAAAATTAATCTCAAAATTAACCTGGCCATCGGTGAAAAACAAAAGAAAACTCCCCTGTGGAAACAAACACAGCGAGAGAACAAGAACTAGAGAGGGGTCAATTAGTTACCTCATCAGCGAGTCAATAAAGCCTGTGAATCAGTGACTGTGAGTGGGTTTAGGCTACTCAGGTCTGCTGAAAGGTTTTTCAGGTTTTAGAGCAGTAGTGTCCGTTCTAAACCTGTCTTCTCTTGTCCTGTGTTAATGCTCCGGAGCTACTTCAGAATTATTCCTTGCCATTAGTGAGTCAAACCATGTGTGGTTTATATATTAAGTTTGAATTGTTTACTGAACTGTCAATTTTTTTCTATGTTAAGCAATCAACACAATCTCAGACCCAAGTTCACAACTTTCCAAAATAAAAGCTTGACAGTTCAGCTCGATATAAGGTTTTACAGCAGCAGAACGAACACTGTACTTTTACTTTGGTGACAAATGACCAAACAGGAAGTGATTCTGTGAATGTTTTTGCCATGACCCCGTCGTGGGTCTCAGTCCAATATGGTGAAATAAAAATAAAATTATCGCAATTATCTGGAGGCGATTTTGGCGACCGCTGCCGAAGTTTACGTGACCAAATCTCACCAAATTCAACACTGCACTTCTATGGACCACTTACGATACACATGCCAAGTGTGAAGTCAATAAGATGAGCGGTTCATGAGATATATAATCCAAATACAGACGGTAGATTTCAACACAGTCCCTTTGTCTGCATCTTTCAGCCTCTTCTTTCCTCTTTTTCTCCATCATTCATCTCTCTCAGTTCCTTCCTCCTCTCTCTCTCTGGGTCTTGCTGGACTGTGTGTTTTCCACATAGCTGTGGTCCTGCACTTGTATATAGCCTCTGTCTTGTTGCTGCGGTGAACTTGTCATTTGTCACTCTGCAGCAATACTCTTTTTAAATTGGTATTTGCTCAAAGTGTACTTCTTCATGTTTCATATTAGATATTCCCCAGCAGTCTCTTGGGCAGGATGATGGAAAGGCGCTATGAATTGCCAATTTAGCCATCCAGCATATGGGATATGTATGAGTGTATGTGCTTTGTGTGTGCGTGAGGGAGGCAGACATCCAGGTTTCTATAGCCGAGGTGAATCAATATGTCTCCAGCCTTATTAAATTATGATCAAGGCTCTGGTACATAAACCGTGAAGCTTTAATTTAACTAAGCTTGTTGTCACTGATATGCAAATAGCATTTGTGGCCGCGTGAATTGGCGTTAGTGGGTAGAACGTGTATGTGTTCATGTCTGTGCTTGCATGTGTGGCCACTTCCTGTTTTTGTTAAGCCGAGCAGATCCGGGTTGAAAAAGCTCACACTGCTGCAGAATACCATTAGCATTGATTAGAATGTGGTTCGGCTGAACCAGCTCCACACCTAAATCCTGGTGCCTGGAGGGACGCCCAAACGACAGACACAGGAGATGGGGAGTGTGTCAGTGTGTGTTTGTGTGTCTTGTTGAATTGGATCAGGGCAGTAGTTAATTCTGTGTTTGTTGAACAGCAGTTCCATGTCCCCGCAGGGTGAGAGTTATCAGGCAGAAACTACTCATCCCTGTGTGTGTGTTTAATTGCACTTTAATCTATTTGAGGACCATTTTGAGCATAGACCCAATGGAGTGAGGATGTTTTGGGACAGTGAGGACATTGTGGTTGTACTTCACTTTTCAAAGGGCTGTTTTAGGGTCAAGGTTTAGGATTTGGGTTAGAATTGGGTTTAGATTAGGATTAGGGTTGGGCATTTAGGTGTGACGGTTAGGGTTAGTATGTCTAGAGGATGTGTTATGCCAATGAGCGTCCTCATGAATACAGAAATACAAGAATGTTTGTGTCCTGTATGTTGTAGAGACAAAAAGCAAGTCCTTCTGATGTAAAATATTAAATGTAAAGACATGTTTTAAGGTAAGGTTAAGTTAAGGTTAATTTAAGGTTCAAGTTCAGGTTTAGGTTATGGTTTAGGTTAGCGGTAAGGTTAGTTGCAAAGTCCATAAGGATAGTTGGACAAGCATGTGTGTGTGTGTGTTTGGAGTCGTCATTATACACTGCCACACATCCACACATATTTTATTAGGTGATTCTTCATTCTGTTCAAACTCAATTGACTTCGTCATTTTTAACAACCACGAATGCATAGAAAACCTCACCGCAGTGTTTTCTATATTTGTAACTTGCACCACCCGTGTGATTTGCATGCAGGGTTGTCACAGCGGACAATAAAACACACTGTATGCTGCACGTGCACAACAGTGGAATTTATGCACGAAAAACAAGATGGTAAAATGAATGAAGCTTTGTGTGTGCGTTTCGTGCTAATAGATGTTTGCCTCTTTGCAGATGGTCCAGGCAAGCAGAGCAGTGATGGATCTCTCCGATGGAATCTACGACAGGATCCTGCACATACAGACAATGGGTGTGTATGCGCGCGTGTGCGTATGTTGGTGTATAGCAGACGCTGCTATGTAGAGTGTGTGATATGATATGTGTGTTTGTAATGAGTAAAAACAAGGCTGAGCCCATATTTCGAGTCCTTGTGACAACTCCCACACAGCCTCCTCCTTATCCACACTGCAGTGGCTGCTTTTGACATTAAGCTTGTCATTCCATTCCTCTTCTCATTTCTTTCCTTTCTTCTCTTCTCCTCTTCCATTTAATTTCCTTTCCTCTCATGCTCTCCCTTCACCTCCTCTTATCTCCTCCCCTCTCCCAAACATCTGGTTAATCGCCAGTGTCACATGAGGCCAGACACGTCTTTTTTTTCCCGTCTGTATGTGTTGGACGGAGGGGGTTTGAATTGGCACAGCTCCCGTCACCGATCCCCCTTCAGTCTCTCAAGCGTACGACACCGTCTCTGACCTGCTGATATCATTTCTGTGATCTTTGGCCGAGGTTTGTTTATTTCAGCCCGGCCCTTGGGTCCTGAGACATTAGTCCCTCAGACTGTCATCGCTGTGACAGTAAACAACCCCTCACAAACACACCAACACACACACACACACACATCACATCGCGTCTTCAGCCGTCACCCATGGAGAGAGTATGATTGACATTTGGACTTTTTAACCTGCAACTTGGTGCAAAAATAAACATTCATGCACTTTATGTTGCTCTCTAGGTGGAAGAAGCGACTATTTATTTTTAAAAAGTCGTCTTGGGGCCTATATTTAAACATCTGGGTGTTTCATGTGAGTTTTATGAGTTGCAACATGCGTCAGCTGCTCAATCAGTCCCCTTGAGAGAAATGGGAAGAGAAAAGAGGAAATTAAGTAGAAATAAAAACCAAGCTGAGATGAAATTGAGAGTTGCTGCAGCTGATCACATAAAAGCAAGCACATATACTTGTATAGAGCATTATTACTCACAAGTGGTCCTACAATGTGCTTTACAGAAATAAAAGAACCATATCAGGAGCATACAAAACATTTAAAATAAATAAGTAATTTGCTGTATTAAGTATAGAAACAGGTTGGAAGCAAGAATTATGAAACAGATGATTAAAAGTGCAAGAGATGAAAAGAAGGCGCTGGAAAATAGAGCAACTTTATTGTTGGGGTGGATTTTATATTGCTACTGACTTATTTTTCCATCCTGTATTCCCTTGTGGATCTTTCATTTCCCATGTGATCACATTTGTAGTATTATTGGTAAACAGAGCGAGATTTGAAAGCCCTACAACCAGCTGCATTTCATCTGATAAAGAGCTGCAGAGCCCGAGGCCTGATTGCGTGAACAAAGCTCTTCCTGTGTGCACAGAGAAAAGATTTCGATCAGGTGATTCCAAGTGAAGAGGTCCACCTCTCAGCCTGGGAAGAGGTCGGGTGGGGGGGTACAACAAGAACAGCATAAACAGGCCACTAAGAGGGAGTCTCAGGGGGGAGGCTGGTGGCAGAGGATGGAAGTCTTGGAGCGATGAAACAGAGAGGGAGAAGAAAGCCGTGGCAAGATGAATGGCTGGAGGCGAAGCTGAGAGGAAAACAAGAACACAGAGGGAGAAAAGAGAGAGGGAATCAACTTCGTTAGCATTATGTGCTGGTGTGTTTAAGAGCTGCTTCTCCTCAGTTAACACTCACTTTCTCATGGACATAACCGTCTAGGTTTAGAGATTTTCAACTCTATTTACAGTGAAAATAAGTTTTTAAAGAGGAACAAAGTCGGAGTGTGTTTCACACCAGACCACACCCAGAATCAGTGTGGCTGGATGTGGTGAGACGTGCCCTCTTCTGTTGCACTTGAAACCACACTCACTCAGTTGTGATGTCACACCCTGGAGCACACCTCTTCATCACTGCTGCGAGATCAGACGTTTAACCAGTGTGCAAAGAAAAGAAAGAGCAGTCATTTCACAGAAACACTCAACACTCTTCCTGCAAACATTCATCACTCATGACGTTGAAACATTGTCAATGGTTTTATTTCAGTCGCAAAACGGATTACATTAAGCGACATGTTGCTGCTGAATGTTTCAGTAACATGATCATCACAAATAAGATTCATTCACCTTCACCCTAGAGACAGTTATCTTGAAAATAATATGATGTCCACTAGACTTTAAGATATATAAATAAGATTTATAGGATAGTGGATTATTTTAGGGAGATAATGAGTTTAAAAATTAGACATGTGACATTAGCTGTTAAAGAGCCGTGATTGTTACTTCCACCAAAGAGGTTATGCTTTCATATGCGTTTGTTTGATTGTTAGCAGGATTGTGCAAAATCCACCTAAACATGCCTTATTTTTTTCACATACATCCATGAATCATTCTCTGAGAAACGCAAAATGTTGAAAAGCTCACCATCTCACAATCTAAAATAAAGAAAAACCCTCAGGGGGTGGCCCTGATCAAGATTTTAAAGGGGTTCTTCCCTGACCCATACCACATCCTTCCCCCAAGTTTCATGATAAACTGTTCAGTTGTTTTTGCACAATCCTGCTAACTTACTGACAAATGCAGATGAAAGAATCTAAAAATTCAGACATGTTTCGGGGCTGATATTTATGAATGTGTGCAATTTGGTGCAGATCCAGATGAATGTGTTTTCATAAGGGGCACGTTGGGCCTTAGCTCTACTGAGTCACATTCTAGTTAACATATGTATTGAAAGGGATGTTTTATCAGTGGAAAATGTCAGTGATGACTGAGAGGAGGAAAATAACATAGATGGGGCTGCTACCTTACATACAGGGGCTCTGTGATTTGTAAGAAACTGATGTGAGTCATATGCTCTGACCCTCACACCCACCACATCTCAGCTCGGTAGAGGACCTGGGGCAGATGTTGGAGCAATGTATGACGGCATGTGGTGATATCTTGTGGAAGAATGGGACTTCCCTCCTGGTATGTTTGTCTGTTCGGTGAACTGAACCTTTAAGAACCTCAGCTGAGCAGCTGCTCCTCCTCCGGGGCCCTGAACTGTACAGTGGTGAGAGTTACATCAGGCGATATAGATTTCACAGTTCATCAGATATTCATATAGAGTGTTTCAAGGCAGAAGTCACATCTTTCACATCAAAGTTTCGGAGAGAGGAGTGAAAGTGAAGGTGAAGCCCTTCCTGCTACTCTTCCTGATTGGCCCCTGTCTCTTTGTCTTTCGGTGTGTGTGTGCAAACTGTCCCAGTATTGGCCTGGAAATAATGTTCTCTCCATCTTCTTTGCTTGGTTTCACAGTGAAATAGACACACACACACACACACACTATATTGGCACGTAGGCTTCGAGTTGCCTAGCAACACATGGTAAAGGTTATTATTCAGGCAACTTCTGTAAGTGTGTGTTTGTGGATGGGAAGCTGTAATAACACAACATGCACGCGTGTGTGTGCAGGTGTGTGTTCATGTTTGCAGACATTTAATGACAGAGCAGGATAAACTTGATTAACTGGTAAATTATACTCTCATTCAGTCTGTTTACTGTGTGTCTGTGTGTGTGTCTGTGTGTGTGAGGTCCCCAACTTGGCATGTTTAATGTCTGTGGCTCTCGATGGCTCAAAGTGATGTGTGCCCTGTGTTAACCCACTTCCGGGTTTCCATGGTAACAGTGGGACAGTGGCCCTGGGCGGCCAGAGGAAGCCAGACACACAACACAACTCCATGGCGCACACACACACACGCACACACACTGGCTAGCCGGCGGCCTGACTCTGATGCTGCTTTCTCTCTTTCTCTCTTTCTCTCTCTCTCTCTCTCTCTCTGTATCTTTCTTCATCTGTCGCACAGATTTTACATCCACTTTACATCCTTTTAATTTTTCATCACACATCTCTGTGACGGCTGATACTTAAAGTGCCATTTGCAGCCCATTGGTTCACTCATGTTGCTCCACAGTCGGCATCTAGTGTAAAGATTAAGATGAATTAGACACATATAACAATATGTACTGAGATTAGAAGAGAAAGAACCAATTAGACTCGATGTGGCATTAGGCCCATGAAGATGGGAGATAGGAGAGACTCTCCTGGTGGTGGTATATTAAAACCTACAGGTGGACAATGGAAAGTCTATGATTGGTTTGAGGAACACAGGCAGACAGATCAATAATCAGATATGGGGTATCAGAATATGTGATTATTGGGACCTTGACAGCGTGGTAAAGGAAAAATGACAGTTGAGATAAGAGCGAGAACAAAAGATAAAAAGGGATAGAAAAGATTGAGTTTACTGAGTGTGTCCTGTACTGTGTGGGAACCACCTACTGAATCTCAAATACTTTCACAAAGCAATAACACTACTAGTGTTACTATCAGTCATGAATACAAAAGTGATTCACTCTTGTTTATGCGTAAGTTTTAGTGATCACACACACACACACACACA